TTCTCCGGGGCAAAGATGCCAGGCAAAGTCCCCAGGGCTTTCCAGACTTTGGCTGGGACAGGATCACTCAGAGATGGGAGACTGCAGTCATTTCCTGTTTTGCTGGTTCCCAAGCTATCCCAGCCAGGATGGATTTATGACTGTGGGCTCTCACGGTCAAGATATGTAGCGTCCTGTCTTGGTCTACTCGTTCATCTCCTGGAAATGGGACGATCTGACTGGGCAGGAGGAAAAGGCATGTGGAGGTGTCCTTCTTCAAACTCTCCTTCTTTCTTGGTTTGGCTGCCAGGCCCAGGGTTTCCCAGGCCACAGAGGAAAGCGTGATGGCAGGGAGCAGGTCACCTGTGTGTCCTGACAGTGATTTTGATCAATTAGGTGTCTGGGAGGGTGCCCATTGCCCAGTGCCCACGGTGCATTCAGAGGCTTTGTGGAGCCTGGTGCTCATCGGGAAGGCAATGGAGGCCTGCGCACAGGGCAGAAAGGATATCCTTCTTCTGTCTTTCCAAGCCATGGATGCTGCTTTGGGCATCGGTCTATCTCCAGAACATGCACAATGCTGCCTGTTTCTCCTCCTTGCTGACCCGCTAGTTCTGCATCTCCGGAAAGGTGATCTGAATGAGTGTGGGCTGGGGAGGACGAGGCCTCCTTGTGCCTAGGCCTGAGGCCATGTGGAGTCATGCAGCATAGCCAGTAGTATGTGAATCTCCTCCTCACTGAGGGGTGTTTCCAGGGGACCCAGCGCGTCCTCTTGTGGCAAACACCCACTCAGAAAAGGGTGTGTGTCTTCTTCCATCTCTGTGGCTGTGAAAAGTTCCTCTAAAAAATTTGAGGGTTCTGCAGAGGCTTGATGCTCTGGGTTGAGCGCAGCAGACAGCCCTGCAGTAGGAAGTGCCTGCTGCTGCCAGCCAGACATCTCAGCATGTGCAGGCTGCAGAACTGACCCATCCTGAGCCTGTCCTATGCCGATGACAAGCTGGGACCCCTCGCCCCAGCACTGTGTAGCGCAGTTTCTCCCAGAGTACCCTGCCTCCTTCAACCCTTGGTAAGGATAGTCAGCTGGAGGCTGAGGGTAGTCTTGGAAGGGCAGGGGTGCCATGTCAGCGTACTAATGTTGTTGCCGGTATTCCCCTTGGGACGGGGGGCAAAGAAGACCTTGTCGAATGAAGAGACACCCTCCCAGAGTTGGTCCGGTCAAGGAACAGCTCCTCAGGCCTTTAGCAGCAGGAAAGTTGTCTCCTCCTTGCCCACCTTGGGTGGGCTGGACCATCATGGCCCCCAGGTCCTGGCTCCCAGGGCCCCCAAAGAAAACTGGAGGGGCAAAGCCCATGCAGGGAATGGGAGTTGTCCCTGCAGGAAGGCCCTGCATGCTTCCCAGAGTACTGGACAGAGCCAGTTGAGGAGAGCTTACAGGGACACTGGCCAGGAGGCCTGGTTCCACTGGGACTGTCACATGAGGACTGGGTTTGGGGTGTGCTTCCCTGTCCTTCATGGGGCCACTTCTGCTCTGCCCTGGGTGCCCAGCTCTTCTGTTCCGGAACCAGACCTGGGACAGAGAATACATCTCGTGGACATGTGAAGAAGAGATAAATGTCAGCACTCTTTCCCCTCAATGTCCACGTGGGATCCCTCGTGGAGAAGGCCAGGACTCTTGCTCTGAATCTCAAGGGAGCTCTGTCCATACTTCTCACCTGGCCCTTGGAAACTAGGTGAACACCCAGGGAAACTGTGGACACCTGACCTGGAGTCCATCCCCCCTTGATAGGCTTGAATGGCAGGCGCTCAGCTCTGCTCTGCCTGTTGTTCAGTCCCTACTTGCCTTCTCTTTGATTGCCAATTGGAGCTTTCTAACCAGCCATTTCAGGAGCCCTGGGACAAAGACATAGCCGACCACCTGCCCCTCCTTCCCGAGGCTACTCCAAGTCCTCCGGAATGCCTCAGGACATCTCTTAACACCTTTCCCTGCTCTGGTGTCTGATTGGGTGTAACCCCAATGGCAAACCACCAATTCTGACTTGCAGGCCTTCAACTCATGTCTCCTGGCCTCCCATCCACATGATAGGTAAGTTTACAAGCACATCTCTTATGGGTCTAGAGGAAGGCATGGGTAGCCAGGAATCCACATCAACAACACTCACATTCAGATTTCGCTCTCCCTCTCCTCCATTTGCTACATGGGAAGAAGAGTTTTCAGTATCGAGCATGTTGAGCTTCCCCTGTATCCAGGGACACGACTTCTTAGAGTACGAGCCCATGAAGACCCGCTTGAAGCAGGGTCACAAGGTCTTGTCCCAAAGGAGAGGCTTCCAGAGAGTCAGCCTCCATACACCTTAAGGACATTTCACAACTCCTATACCAAGAACCACTCTCTGCAGAGCTTTCTCAACCAGGGCACACGGGACCTCTCACCCACCTGCCAACAATCTTTGGGACAATTATCCTGGATGAATAGGTTATCCAGAGAATGTGTGGTTTGCGGGTAGAATCCATTCCTGTCCTGGGGTCCTGAGGCCCAGGATCCTGACAAACATGTTGCCACACGCAGGACAGCAACCCCACTCACACTCAGGAAATTCTGAGGGCCGCATGGAGATTCTTACTAGCTGCTCAAGAGCTGACAGTTTGTGTGATCTCTAGATAGGTGTCAATATTTCCGTTTCCCCTCTTTTGTCTGCTCACCATTTCTATATGCATGTACGCTGCCAACTACCTCCCCACCACACACACACCATTTGGTTTGGAAATTCTTCCTTGGGTGGTCTCTCACTCGCAAGTTCAAGACTTTTCCCCCATTGCCCGGGCATTGGATCCTGTGGATAGGTCCAAGGAGCCCACGATTCCCCACCACTATCCCTTCCATGTTGAAAAACTCATGTGCCACACTCTGAAAATATACCTGAATGCGGGATTCCGGAAGACCTGTGAGGCTGGCCAGGTGTTCCCTGGTAGCAATGCTTGGAAAGCGGTTCTTCTCAAAGGATTGAAGGAGGATACTGGTTTGGGATAGAGAAATGGATGTCCGTTTTCTCCTGACATCCTTTGTGAAATATTCTAAAAAGAAAATAGGGTTAGAAAGGTGGGCTGTGATACCACTGGCACATCCAGTTTAGAAAGAGAAATTGGTGTCCTTCTGCATGTATGTGTGTGTGTGTGTGTGTGTGTGTGTGAGTGTGTGTGTGTGTGTGTGTGTTCTCACATGGTTCTCCATTTTCTCAATGGCCTCTACATCCCTGAGTCTACTGAGGTCACCATGGACCCACGCACACAAACCAGTGCTTGGATCTAAAGTCTGAGGTGACCCCAGAAGAGGACTCTGTCCTTCCTACATTTTCAGGACAAGAAGATTCAAAGCCTTTCTTGCCCAGAAACAATGCACCAGCCCAACAGGTGGTGCATGTACAGTGTCCATCTCTGGGAACAGAAAGGCGGCTAGAACCAGTGGTCATGGGTTCCTCTGCTAAGCCTTCTTGGCAAACACATGGAAGCCCATGCATACCCATTCCTGTGTCAAGGAGAAGCTCAAGAAGAGACCCATTTGGTATGATGGGGAGACACCTTGAGTCCAAGAGGGAGGCTGTTCCTGTCCATGTGTTGGCCCTTGCCCTTGGGATTTGGCAGACCCCAATCGGCTCTGCCTTAGCTGTCTCGTGCACTGGATCTGGAACCACACCTAAATTGCAAAAGAAGAACCGATGGTCAGGCAACACTGGTGGACATGCTCTCTCTCTCTATATATATATGCTTTTTTTTTTTCTCTCATACCTAAGATCTCAGACTGTTTTGTGTGGACCATGAGATAACTCAGGAAAAATGATCTCTAGGGAAAGTCAGCGAAGATGTGTTGACCTGTTGGAATGTCCCAGGCCTGGCGCTCCAATAGTACCTGGGTTCCACGAGTGAATGATTTAGAATGACTTCCAAGGGCATGGGCTTAACAGAGATGCACATACAGGAGCCAAAGCTTCTGAGCTTCCCAGCTGAGCATGTAGATTGACATGCAGTGGCTTGGGCCTGATTTTGTCCACGACTTGTCCCCCAGGGAAAATGCAAATGAAGATCAAACCTACCTGGATTCTGGATTCTGGAATGTCTAGGTCTCAGGCCAGTCGTTCTCTGGTGGCGATGCTTGGGTACTGGTTCTGCTGGAACAATGCGTGCAGATCCCCTTGCTGCATCGGCTTCAAATCAAGCCTCCTCCGTCGTGATCCGCATGGGATGGAGCCTGGTGCTCGGAAAATGACAACCATATTAGGAAGGCTTTCATAGGAATGCAAACCGGCGGTTCGGTCTCAGCTCTTCACTTTCTGCCCTGTGTTCACCTTCCAAGATCGGGGCTTCTTGTGCCTTTGCCATTCATGGATCTAACTAAGGGTCTGCTCGATAGGACAGGCAGTCCACCATCTGCCTATGGGAATGATTGATAGGCACGGATCTAGGGAAATACCAACTTCTATCAAAGCATGTGATGGCATGCCAATGAACTGAGCAACCCTGCGGGGGGGATGAAGAGGAGAAAGCACCTTAGGAGAAACAAAGAGGACCCCACTGCTCCTAAAAAAATCAAGGTCAACTCCAGCAAAATATCCTAAGTGATCCTCAGTGAGGTGAAACTTCTCTTTTTGTAAATGACACCTGAAATAGGTGCTGAATATTTTCCTGTTCTCTGCCACCTGAGATATAGCTTCCCTATTTGCAAAAATGGGAGTCTTGTTGGGAATCCCGGCCACCAACTGCAGTTTTCATTCTGACAGCAGCCATATGCAAGCCTCACTCTAATCATTTCCCCCAATCCTCCCTGGATCACAATCCCTCCAGCATGTATGCTGGCAATCGATGTGGTCTCTTTTACTTTCCCGAACCCTGTACAATTATCAGGGCCTTTGGAAAATGCAAGCAGGGAGCAGGAAATTGGATGGAAAATTACTCCTTGATTTCCTGGTCAGAGCCATGCCGATGGAGTCACTTGGGTTCCAGAGCACTGGCAGGCCGACTGGACAGGACCCGGATCATGGGACTTATCAATGCCTGGGATGGCCTACCCCTAGATGTCCCACCCCCAACATTTCGACAGCTTCCTGTGGTAGCCCTGCCTTTAGTGGTTCAGACCTTTGGCGGAAAAGGTCTTCAGGAGGACATCAGGACCACCTTAGCCAAGTACTTGCCCTGGGCAGGTGGACATGACCCCCCCTTCTCTGGATGCAATGTGCCTTTCCCAATCCCACTAGCTTTTCTCCTAGATTACAGCCTTGACATCGAATCGTGGTGTTGAGATTCTGGGACTCTGTGTAGGACCGGACCACATAAAGGCACTTCGATAATCACTTCAGATTCTGGCATGTGTGTGTGAAACTCCAACCACCTTTCACCACCCAAGACAGGCCTCCTAATTAAGTTCCCTTGTCTTGCATTACATTGTTTTCTGTCTTTCTTTTCTTTGTTTACATTTATTTTTTTATGTATTGGAACTTTCATCATTTTTCATTTGAATGTTTTTGTTTTTCCCCTTCATTTTTATATTTATTTTTTGGTATTACATTTTTTTATATTGATTTCGTATGTGCCCTGGTATTTTCAACCTTCGCCCCACCAATCAGGACTGTTTAGCTATATAGTTTTTTGTCTAGATGCCCTCCACATCTGGGGAACCCAATTCTGATGACATCACGGCAGCTCCCAGGCATCTTGTGAAACTGTGGGTGTGGAGCCAGGAGGACACTGAAATCAGTCAGCTTAGATGGACAGCACGTGAGAGGGAAATTGTGGACTTGGCCATCGCCATGTATGTGGGGTGGTACGGTCGACACTATTATTTGCTTGTGGGTTTGCACATGAGTGTGTGTGGCAAACAAGCTCTTCTGACTCAGAGGCTTTGAACTCTTTCCTTCCAGCCTCACATTGGGCTGGTTCCTCTATTGGCACATCTTTTATGGGCCATGGCGACAGCTTTGCATCTAGAAGTTCCTAATCAACAACACGAGCATTTGGATTTGACTCTCTCTCATTTTGTGGCCGGAAGAAATGTTAACTCTCATTGGGAACTTCAATTTCCTCTCTTTCTGTGTGTAAGAGTTTTCAGTGGGCTTGGGGAGGGGGAGAGCAACATGGCAGAGAGTACGAGACCTGGAATTTGTCTGGTCTCAGGAATTCAGCTGGAGAGGGGTCAGACCATTCTGAACATCTCCAAACTCAACAGGAGATCGAATAAAAGAATAGCAACAACTCTTTGATCAGAAAAGCAACCACTTTCTGGAAGGTAGGACATTGTGGAGATTCCACACCGTGTTGGGTGCCAGAGAAAGAAATGCTCGGTCACAGACTGGGTGAGCACGGAGTGCGGCCAGAGACCAGGGAGGTGGGAGTGAATACTGCTTTATCTGGGTGCACACTGAGGAGCGCTGCCCCTGAGTTCTCGGCTCCTCCGGGGCAGAGATTAGGCGGCCACCATTTTCACTCTCATCCTCCAAATCTGTATGGAGAGGCTGCAGGGAACAAAAGCTCCTGAGAGCAAAGTGGAGC